GAGGCAATGTGGTAAACACACCATTTCTATCCTAGGACCAGTAGTCAAATGAGGGGGTTAACTGTGGCTTATGGTAAACCCTGGGCAGGGAGCCTCCCACCCCCAGCTCTCTCCTGGGATCAAACTTGTGACTAGCTGTATTCTTTTAGGCTGACCAGCCTCTTGTGGAAGTCGCCTTTTCTTCTGTGGGGACGGAGGGTGACCCCATGGAACTGGGAAGAGGCATCGTTTCAGCATCCTCAAGAGAAAGAAAAAGTACTGTCTAGGCTCCGAAGTTTCCCACAGCCGAATACTAGCTGCTTGAGCTTGGGGCAGCACGTAGGCTGTGGTTAAAGGTCCACATTCCACGGTTATTTCTTCTAGCCCACTGTCTGTGATGAAACAGTCCAAGAATCCCACCAGCCCCACGGGTGCTCAGACCATGGGGACGGCCCCAGAGACTTGAAGAAGTCAGGCTGGAGACCTTGGAAATGAAAGCCAGAGAATGCTCGCAAGGCTCCGAGTCCTTCCCGGGTACCTAGCTCACTGTGTGCAGAACTTTGAGTTACGCCTGTAAACAACTGGAGGCAGCACTTTTTTAAAATTAGTCTTACAAGTTTCCTCGCCTAAGGGAGCATAGGTTTCGGAAAAAGTTTTGCAAGCAGTTAATGTTATAAAATGGCCCATTTATTAATATAGTGTGTTTTACTTGTTGTAAGATACATCCTTTACTGTTGGACCAATGCATTTCCTGATTAGTAATCTCTCACCATCTCACGGTCCAGCACACTCACCAGGAGTCAGTTCTGTGAGGAAACCTCGTGGGGCAGGGAGATGTGGTGTAGAAGTACGTACAGGGAGAGCTGGCCGCGGATGCCCCCATAGGGTTGCAAGTTATGTCCCACTATGTGACTCCTGCAGATGGAGACCACAAAGGCTGACGTCCAGCGGAGCCAGCGCAGCAGCTGTTCCCCAGGCAGTCAGCATTGTCTTCCGAGGGAACTAGGCACTCCTGGCAAGCTCCTCGGCACTTGCCTTTTAGTGATGCTCCCCTTTCCCGACCCTGCCTCAACGCCCCGGCTGCACATATATGTGTGGTTTGATTTCTTCCTCTCCGCTCTTTTACCCGTGTCATCCCTTAAGGATGGCCTCAAAGGGTGAATGGCAATGTAGAAGGCTATGGTTTCCCAACCATGACTTAATGTCAGTTCCAGCTTCACTACGAAATAACTGTGAGATCCTGGCCAAGTTGATCCCTTCTGCTTCTTCATCTGTGATATGAGTGTGGAAAACGATATCTATGACTAGGCAGAGTCATAGATATCTTTTAATTTTTTTTTAAATTTTAAATTAAAAAAATTAGGCTCCTGCCCTGTTCCCTGTTTTCTCCCTCTTTTGATGTCCATCCTCTTTGCCTTTCTGAATGAGGACTGAGCATCTTAGCCAGAGTCCACCTTGATTACTTTCTTCAGGTGTACAGATTTTAGTATGTTTATCTTATATTATATGTCTAATATCCACTTATAAGTGAGTATATACCATGTGTGCCTTTCTGCTTCTGGGATACATCACTCAGGATGATCTTTTCCAGTTCCCACCATTTGCCTGCAAATTTCATGATTTCCTTGTTTTTTAATTGCTGAGTAATATTCCATTGTGTAAATGTATCACAATTTCTGTATTTGCTGAGCAAATGTCCTTGTTGTGTACTTTTGTGTATATGCCTAGGAGTGGTATAGCTGGATCTTGAGGTAGCACTGTTCCTATTTATCTGAGAAAGCGCCAGATTGATTTCCAAAGTGGTTGTACAAGTTTACATGCCCACCAGCAGTGGAAGAGGGTTCCCCTTTCTCCACATCCTCTCCAGCATGTGCTGTCACTTGAGTTTTTGATCTTAGTCATTCTGATGGGTGTAAGGTGAAATCTCAGGGTTGTTTTGATTTGTTGACTAAGGACATTGAACATTTCTTTAAGAGTTTCTCTGCCATTTGATATTCCTCTATTGAGAATTCTGTTCAGCTTAGTACCTCATTTTTTAATTGGATTACTTGATTTGTTGCTGCCTCTGAAAGACTCTACCCTGCAGGGTATCATAGCAGATGCTGAGACTTATAGCCAAACTTTGGGCAGAATGCAGGGAATCTTATGAAAAAAGTAGGAAATAGTAAGACTGGGAGGGGACAGGAGCTCCACAAGGAGAGAGCAACAGAAACAAAAAAAATCTGGGCACAGGGGTGTTTTCTGAGACTGATACTCCAACCGAGGACCATTCATGGAGATAACGTAGAACCCCTGCAGATGTAGCCCATGGCAGTTCTGTGTCCTAGTGGGTTCCATAGTAATGGGGACAGGGACTGTCTCTGACATGGATTGATTGGGCTGCTCTTTGATCACCTCCCCCTGAGGGGGGAGCAGCCTTACCAGGCCACAGAGGAAGACAATGCAGCCACTCCTGATGAGACCTGATAGACTAGGATAGAAGGAAGGGGAAGAAGACCTCCCCTATCTGTGGACTGGGGGAGAGGCATGCGTGGAGAAGGGGGAGGGAGGCTGGGATTGGGATGGGAAGAGGGAGGGAGTTACAAGTGGGATACAAAGTGAATAAGCTGTAATTAATAAAAATATAAATCAAAAAAGAAAGAACAAAAAATTTTAAAATCTTTACAAGTTTTTTATTTTAGTATGTATGTTTGCCTGTAGTGGATATTTTGGTGTCTTTAAAAACTGTTATGTAAACATGTTGTTTTAATCCCAGCTGTAGGATATATGGGGCTGCTTTAAATTGTTCGCAGAAGCAGACTGTTTGCCTCGTGTAGGCTCTGAGAAGGGCCTGATCTTTGCCAGCTGCAGCTAGTTTAATTCTGAAGACTAAAAGGGTAAATGCCAAAGCCCACAGAGGGGCAGGGGTCTGAGGAAGAGGAAGGAAGCTCCTCTCTGCTGCTCCTGGTTGCTGTTGCTACAGTTTGAGACGAATTAGGAGATAACCTGAACTGAAGACTGGACTTGCCCCCAAGGAACCCAATGACCCTAAACAGCAGGAAGTAGTTACAGAAAACTGTGCCCCTTCTCGCTAACCTTCTTTCTCTCCCACCTGGTGCTGGAGTGTTGAAAGGGATTGGGGTAGAGTTGGGAGAGAGATATAAGAAACCTCAATACACAGATTTCAAAAATATACATGCTTACATTTGCCTGCATGTATGTGTCTCAGATTCCCTGAACTAAAAACAGTTGTCACCTGCCATGTGGATGCTGGGAATAGAACCTTGGTCTTCTGGAAGAAGGGGCAGTTCTCCAGCCTAAGACTGCTCTGAAGCTTAAATGAGCAATGCTCATAAAGCCTTAGCACGCTATCTGGCAGAATGTACATCTTCAATAAGCATCAGCTGTTCCCATTAACTGAACCAAGGGAGGATTCTCTTCCAGTGTTTGCATAGATCGTGTCACAAGTATGGTGCAATGAAATATGCCACATATTTCTTGTGATAAGCAAAATACTGAGTCTGAATCTCTATCCAAAGAGAAATTGCAGGGTTACACCACAAGAGGCCTCTACTTACAACAACACCATGTATTGTGCAACCAAGTGTCATGTGTGGTTGTCCTTTGAGATTCAAAGACTGGCTTGACCTACATCCCACATTGTGTACGAAGTCCCAGGGGGACAATCCTGGATGCATTCGACGGTGATAGTAGGTGCAGTCCAGGAAACTGTTTTGTTTCTTCTGACTCTTCGCCATATGGCTTGTCTTGCTGAACTGTCAGCTTGCTTTCTTTAGTTGTGCCACATTAAACCTGCTCTCCCACCCCCGAAGTGGTAGAAAGCTACACATCTGCTTTGATTGGAGAGTTTAGAAAAGAGCATCAAGGTTTCACCACACCTTATCCAAGTCCTACGGCTCTTCTGCCCCCAGAGCTCCTTCTGAGGTCCTTTCTAGAGGACCCCTCTCCTGCCATGTCTGCTCTTGATTCTTTTCTGCTGTTCATTTCTTTCCTTTTTGCTAACCTTCCCTGCAGAAAGGCTCTGAGATGTCATCCTAGATGAGATGCACCTTTCTAAAGTCTACTAAAGTATATTCTGAAGTGGTTGCTACTTGACCTTTGCCATGGTTTGAACCCGGAACATCCTACAAAGGCCATGCGCCTACTACATGAAGGTGCAGCTACCAGCCTGTGGTGTTACTGGGAGTTGACAGAATCGTTGGGAGGTAGATCCTAGTAGGAGGAAGTTAGGTCACTGAGGGCATGCCCTTGAAAGGGATATTGCCGCTCAGTCCTCTGCTCAGTTTCTTACTGCTTCCAGGCTGCCACGTGATAAACAGTTTCTTCTGTCATGGGCTTCTACTACAAGCCCAACAGCAAAAGGACCACTATGCACTGCATCATGAGCCAAAATACATCTTTCCCGAGTTATCTCAGGCACTTTATCACAGAAACACAAGATGACTGATGAAGCCTTTCAGAGAATCCTGGTGTTATAATTTTATGTATCAGTGACTTTACACCAGTTCTTTCAGGGCAAGAACCTATGCAACCTCTTTGCCTCAGAAAGTGAAAGAATACAGCAGCTAATGATCTGCATTGGCTCTCTTCTGGGAAGCTTGCCGCAGAGGGCTGAAATAAGATAATAAACTTGAAGTAGTCCGAGGCCGAGTAAATGCCTGCGTTAAACTGCTGTCAGTCTGCAGTGACTAGCTTCATTCACGCTGACACTGACATCGCAAGCAGAGAAAGGGCTTTTGGGAAAGACTGGATGTGTACTTGAGTAACCTAGCTTCCTGATGACGCAGAAGGTTCAAGTACGGGTTTTAGATGATTCTCTTCCTTGATGTGATTGTACTTCAAATGTCTGGACACAATAAAGGAAATTTTTTACTTATCTATCCTGGTAGGACAGTAGAAACAAGCTTGGTGTTTCATCTAAACACACACAAATCACAGAACCACTCTAGGCTTCCGTTCCCATTACAAACCATTTAATATTGAAGATTTGCTTGTTTCTGTCTTTCTGCAGACAGACAAACCAAGTTTTAAAACTCTTTATTTGTATTTTAGAGAAAGAACAGGTATTGCATTATAAAGACTTGTTTGAAAGTATGAAATAGTCTGTTGCCATTATTTATTGTAAACGGACATAATTATTAAGGGGGAGAACAATACATCTTTTCTGCATTTCTTCCACACATGGTGAAACAGGTCTCATGCAGCCCCGGTTGACGCTGAACTCCTGATCTTTCCACCTCTGCCTCCCAAGTGCTAGGATTCTAAGCACACTCCACCATCCTGGTTTATGTAGTGAAGGAGCGAGCCCACAGCTTCGGCATCCTAAGCAAGCACTCTTCCACTTGAGCTAACACCCAGTCCATCTTCCACACACTCTTAAATGAGCATGGATACTATATGACTGGCCTTCGCTGAACCTTATTATCACGATGAAGGAAAAACAAAACAAAAAAAACAAACTAGAATCTCAAAGACAAGTAAGAGTTTTGTAGCTTTCATCATTCCCAGGATCCTGACAATTGCCCAGAAACTAGAGCACACAATGAATTATGATAGTTCAGTCTTTACATACTCGTGAATTCAATCTGCTGATTCAGTCTGGGATTAGCATACTGGGGAAGACATATAGTCACCAGCTTGACGGAGGGCAAAAAGTACACCAGTGTGGTATTTGTTGACTTTCACAAATAACCTATTGACTCCTTAGTTCTTAAGCCCAATATAATTAAGTCTTTTCATGCACTAATCTGTAATGCTTAAAGTTAGCCAAACACGAGGGTCATTTTGTGATATTAGCTAGCCATGATATGACTCAATAAATTTCCTAATCACACAGACTTACATTGTTTTTTTCTCATAAATTCTATATGTACCTAACAGATATTAGAATTGCTTAAAGTTCTAGTAATATTCAAAATAAACTGTTTTAAGGTTAGTTATTAAAAATATAAGCTAACAGAATACTAAGAGAATTTCCTTAGGCAGGAGAAAACTGTATTTCTTCTATATGTGCATAGTTCCTCTTGGACTCTGGTAATATCTTCCTAGGTAGTCCGGTAGTTACTTAAAAATCACCCACAATTCCAATAGTGGGCACTGGGGAGAAATGTCTCCCTCCAAGTGTTATTAGGGTGGGAATGACAATGTCTTCAAGACATCATCTTCCTTCTAGGCTTTACTTTTGTTCTTTTGGTTAAAAATATGACTGGTGTTCATACTAGCAGCAAAGAAATCACTGCTTATGTAAGTGAAAATGATTCTTTCAACAACTGATGAAAGGACTTGCGGGTGGAGAATATGGGGCTATGGGCGTCTGTAGGCAGCAATAAACTGTGATCAAGTCTGGCCAATATGCACCGATGCTACAGTGTGAGAACGTCTCACTTGGAAGTTTAGGCCTGTTCTTCTGAAGCATCGGCCCCTCAGGCTGTCCCAGGTAGGCACTTCCATGAGTTCATGGAGAGGGGAGCCACGGGGTCAGACTCTGGCTCTCCAGGTTAAGGAAGTACAAGAGGCTGCTTCTAATGCGCTATGAAAGCAGAAGCTGGACTGCAAGTTTTCGATGTGGGAGGAAGTCAAACACGAGTCCAGTTTTGTTCTTGTGGTACATTTCTGTCATGTTTCATAGTGAAACGGCAAGACCAAAACACAGTCTTACAGTTGTGAAACTGTGGGAGTGCTCCCAGGTCAAATGTTCTCGTCACAGCAGCCATGACTAACAGCATCTTGCTCCTCTAATTACTGGGGAATGTTCGCCCAGCATGGAGATTAGGGCCAACAAAATTGAGCCACGACAGAGTTTTTTAAACATGAGAGAAAACCTGCTTCTTTTGTTTTTAAGTAACAGTTATTGGGAAAACTTAGGAATGACTCATGTAATGTTGCTTTCAGCCCAGCATCTACTTCTTGCTAGCAAGAAAGGCAAAATGGGGCCAGCTTTGTGCTGCTGACATTTGTCTCACAAACATCCCTTCTCATCACCTCCTAACTTGGGAGCAGATTTACATTACATTCTAAGGAAGCTGTCTTGAGAGCCAAGCACAGAGAGAAGCAGTTCTGACTCGGGAAAACAGGAGCAAGCATCTAGCTCCTTCCCCTGAATTTAAAGACTTGCAAACACACGAAAGGCCACACTGTCAGTCTCCACCAATGCCTCCCAACGTTACAGTAGCATCAGCCCAGGGCACAAGATCACCTAGTATCACGTGAAGTGACTGCCTCTTGGAATTACAGATTTGTTTTTTTTTTTTTTTTTTTTTTATGTGTGTATTAGGGTTTTGCCTATACATATGTGCACCACGTGTGTCTGGTACCTGAAGAGGCCTGGAAAAGGCAGAGGATCACTTGGAACTAAAATTACATATGATTGTGAGCTGGGAACTGAAACTGGTTCTTCTGGAAGAGCAGTAAGTACTGTTGACTGCAGGGCCATTTCTTTAGCTCACATTTATTTAAATTTTTAAAATAATCTTGGAAAATCATACTTCAAGACTTAATAAATTAAAAAAATATATATGTTATATGTACATGCATATACATTTCCAGGCTACCACCCCCAAAAGGGCAATCTCAAATAAAAAACACAAAACCTGAATGTCTTTTTAATTTGCTCCAGCACTGCAGCTTTCCCTTTCCAACGGGCCCTGTGCTAGCAGGCAAACATTACGATAAAAACTACTGTGCCCAGGGATCATAGCTCTTTTACCAACTTAAACAGGGGGAAACTTCTTTATATCTGTCCACTCTCTTCCCCTTGTTTCCTGAAACTCTACCGTGAGGATGACCCATTCCTCATCTCGTAAGATGGACTTAAGAATGGCAATAACAAGACCTGAAGCGACAGTGCAGGCAGAGAAAACAAGCCTCCAGACTACTTTCGAATGGCCCTTCGCAGCTCCTTGGCTCCTTCACCCACTTGTGCTGTGGTCACCTTAACTTCTCCCTGCTCTTTGGCTGCGCCTCCCCTTCATCACCTCCACTGTTACATGTAGGAGAGGATCGGCCTTAGCAGCGGTGGCATGACTTAGGGCTTCGGTCTGAGGAACAGGTAGGATGAACACAACAGAGCCATGATGCAGAAGACAAGAGGCCTTGGGACGGCTTCTTAGGTGGTGCGGTGAGAGCGAGAGGCATGTAGAGTCCCTTCAGACATCACTCCTGTCTTCCAGCAGAGGAGCACAGGAATGAGCGGCTGCCACGGCCTCTAGCCACGGCCACACCCTGCAGTTGAGCTACTTCACAGGCGGAGAGGACAGGGTCACAGGGTAGCCCACCTCCCCCACAAATGGCTACTCATAAAGGTACTTCACGCGTTTACTACCTTCTCCTTGACACCCATTAGAAGACTGATCCCTAGGCAAACAGGTCTTCTCCGAAACCACCCAAGAGCCAATTTGGATGAACTGTGGCACTGAATTTCAGCAGTTTGCACTATGGCAACTCCGCATTCCCGGGTAATACAGACGCGCTTCCCCAGAAGCATCTAACTAGCTTGGGAGACAGCAGCAATGTTCAGCAAACAGTTGTTGGCGAGGAGACAGGCATAGTAGGGCCACAGACAGAAAATGACCTGACTGTGTGCAACCCTCGAGAGATGTCTCTCTTTTACTTGAAGAAGGAGAAGAGGACTTGCAGAACGGGATCACCTGAGAAAGGCAAGCCAGCTAGGGAGAGCCCATCAAAACCTTCTGGAGTTTTAGGAAGGAAGGCAGTGCGTGGGGAATGACATGAGTCCCAACAGCCATTTCAGTGACTTTACCCATGTACAATGCACAGTGCAACATAAATTTAGCTGCTTGCTATGGTGAAAGAAGCAGGCAAAATACAATAAAATATATGTAGACATAACTTTTGCTTTTTGTTTGTTTTTATTTTACTTATTTATTTTTTGAGGTGGTTTCCTTATATAGCTTTGCCTGTCCCATCCTGGAACTCAATATGCTGATATGTAGAACAGGCTAATCTAAAACAAGCCTACCCTGTCTTCCAAGAGGTGCTAGGAATAAGGGCATGTGCCCAGCCATAGCTTTTTCAATTAATTAATTAAATTTTTTTAGCCCTACTATGGAACTACAAAAAGAGATAATTTCTTTAGCAACTTTCCATTGCAGAAACTGAAAGTTTTTGCCATAATGCGGTGCAGCCTCTCAGTGAAAACCCATGCTTGTTCTGTGCATTGTCAGCCCTAAAGGGGACACTCTAGTTTGGCTTAAATCTGGTCACTTCCAAGTTCCTTTGCTGAGTCTGGTTTCACAGGAGTGTGCCCTGGGCTGAGGATTCACAATGACAGGGAAGCATTTGTCCTGAGGTCCTTAAGGATCTGCAGTGATTAGCAGAGTTCCAAGAGTGAACAGTAGCTCTAAATTTACACAGAAGCCATATGAACTCCCAAGGTGTAAACACATGTGTAAAGGGAGATTCCTCCTCTCCCGGCATTCCACCACTGGCCTTCCCTTTCCAGTGTGTGGCTCACTCTCTGACCCCACAGCAGTTATATTTGTTCAGGGCTGAACCACAAGTCAGAAGTAAAAATAAACTTTACCAACTGGGGATAATCTCTTCACCCAAACTCCAAACTGTTTTGACTGTGAGGATGCTTCTGGCTGTTCAGATTTGTGAAATGTGTTTTCTTAAATATAATATTCAGAATAGATTTGAATCAAAGGAGAGAGAAAGCCAACTGGTGGAAACCACATGAGCATGTGTTCTAAAGCTTTAAATAAAAATTGCTTTACTAGGCCAGGAAGTGTAGTGGACAAACGAGGAAGTGGGTCTTATCTGAAGGAAGATGCCTATGAACAAAATATACACAGCAGAAAAGCAGTGAAGAAAGATATAACAGAACAACCAACACCAGGCAGCACCAGGCAGCACTGCCTACACGAGCTGCACGGCCATGAGAGAACCTCTCTCCCAATGTTCCACGCCGTGGAGAGATGGTGAAGAGCAGAGTGGCTTCTTGTCTTTCCCTTGAGTTGAGTGTGAGGCAGTTCTCCGCTTGCTACAGAGGCAGCGAACAGCACTGCTCACCGGTTCTTCAGCGAGGTAAGGCCCACATTTTCTTTCCAGTGCAGCTCAGGGTCCTACTGCAAGGACTCAGGGATGGTGCTCACAACATGTGTCGTCTCTGTGGCTGCTGGAGGGGAACCAAAGAAGGTGTTGGTTTGGTTCCTCTGATGATCTCGCAGATAAGGAGGAACTGAGGAGCTTTTGATGTGGAGGATCCTGGTGTCCATCACCTGACAGTCAATCTGCATCATCACCTCGTAATCCTGCCCATTGATCACGTTATCTGCAGAGAAGTAGAGACAGGATTCAACAGGGAGAGCTTTCAGGGTGAACTGTTACTCTACTTTCAAGGGGGGTAGTTTTATCAGCCTTTATGCCTAGGAGTCGTATGTCCTGTCCTTTCCTCAATTCTAGTGCTCCAAGGGTCTTCACTGGTTCAGTAAGGGCTGTACCCTCTCCTCCACTGTGGAGACTGACACAAGACATCTGAAGAGGACAGAGAAAACACATCATCCCAAGAAGGGAGAAATACTAAGGCCTTATAACCATTTATTGCATATATCCATTTCACTGTATTCGTTTTTGAAAATTGTTTGCACTTTTGTACTTGACTTGTTCACTTGTGATTTAACTTATACCTCCCTGGAAAGGCTGATGGACTATTTACTCCACAATATTTTCTCTACTGTATCTCAGCCTCATTGTTCGTTTCTCATTCTCACTTTCCTCCCCCTTTCCTCCCCACCCCATTCCCTCTGCATTTTACTACCTACATGCTCATACCCTCAACTTCAAAACACCCTACACTCCATGTTCTCCGAAAGGCACCCTAGTACCACTGCTCCTAAATCTTGCTGGGGACATTAAGTGGTGTATATAGTGAGCATGACCTAAACAGCCAAGAATACTGAGATGTCTTCAGAAAATCAAACCTAGGAACCTGTGGGCAGAAGGAAGTGAGTTAAAGCCTAAGGCCAGTGTAAATTTGATTTACTCAATAAAACTGTAGCAGAAAATATCCTAAGTCCAGAGAAGGAAATGGACATGCAAATACACGAACCACTTCATGCCCCAAAGAGATGTGACTAGAGAACTTTTCATGGTATATCAGAGTTAAGAGAAGATGTTGTCTTAGTTTTTTTTCTGTTGCTGTGATGAAATGTCCTGGCAAAGAAAACCAAAGAGAGTTTATTTTGGCTCAGAGTTCAAGGTACAGTCCACCATGGAGAAAAAGTCAAGATGGTAGAAACTTGAAGTAGCTGCCTGTGCCACATCCACAGGTAAGAACCAGACAGGGATGAATGCTCAGCTCCTGCTCTCCATTTTCACAGTTCAGGATCCCTGCCAGGGAACAGCTCCACTCACCAGGGGGAATGTGTCATCCCACCTCTGTTAAAGCAATCGAGAAACCTTCCGTAGGTCTGCCCAAAGGCCCATCTTCCAGGTTATGCTAGATTCTGTCAAGCTAACAACTAATACTAACCCCAACGAATGTCAAAAGTATAAAGCTAAGAAAAATATTAGAAGCTATGAGGGATAAATGTTGATCCATATATAAATGAAAACATATTAAAATAACATTAGATTTCTTGTTAGCAACCCTAAAAGCAAAGAAAGCATTGAATGATATACTTCAAGCCCTAAACATAAATAACTGCCAAGAAAGAACACTATACTTAATAAGTTATTTCTTGGTATTTCAAGATAAACACATACTAAAGCAATTCATAACAACTAACTCAGCCCTGCAGAAACCACTTAAAGGAATACTATACACAGAGGAAGAAGACAGTACTGGTATCTGTGAGAGCAAGGGAGAGCTAAGTAGCAACTTATTATGCATGACAGAGGAAACCAGCAAACTCTTAATACTAACATGAGAAAGAAAATACCAATAATTCAAACAGCCAGAACAACCACCAAAACAACCATTGGAAATTGCAAGCCCCTCTCAATAATAACCTAAAAGCAATAACCTCAACTGACTATTGAAAAAAATACAGGTTGATTGGATTAAAAAACACATTTGTCAAAGGATGGAATCAGCTTTCCCAGCAAATGTCAACAGTCTGGTAGAGCTAATAAAGTAGACTTCAGACAAAACCTAATCAGAAGACTAAGCCCAGGACATACGAACAAAGGGAATACACTGAAGATCACACGTCAGGATAAAGGTGATTTCAGTTCAGGGACAAAAGGCTGGTTCAACATATGCAAATCAGTAAACGTAACCCAACATGTAAATATACTTAAAGACAGAAATGAACTAATCATCTCTACACACTCAGAAAAGGTATCTGACAAAGTTCTCCATGCCTTCATGATAAAAGTCTTGAAGAAACTCAGAGCAGAAGGAACATATCATATAGCAAGCCTACAGCCAACATTACATTACATGGGGATAAAAGCATTTCCTGTAAAATCAGGAATGGTACACAGTGCCTTCTTTTTCCACTCATTCAACAGAATGCTTAAAGTCTTAGCTAGAACAATAAGAAAAGAAATAAAAGGGATATAAAGAGCAAAATGTGAAGACAATTGACTATTTTCAGGTTATACCATTCTGTATATAAAAGAACCTATGGGTTTTACTTCTTATGGTACAGTGAAGCCTGACAAGACTCTGATGTCTGTGTTTTCAGTAAAGTGGTAGGATTCAAAACCAACATGCTAAAATCACTAGTTTTCCTACATACCAATAATGAGTTTGCCAAGAAAAAAAATTAAGAACAATTATTCCACTCAACACTGCCTCAATAACAATAACAAGAAAATCCCTAAGACTACGGCAAACCAAGGAGGTAAAAGCACCTTAAGGCACTAAAGAAAGAAATTAAAGATATGAGAGAAAAGAAAGGTTTTCTATATTCATGGATTAGCAAAATTGTTGGTATAATGTTCTGTTGGAATGTATACAATTTACCTTTGTTCATTCAAATGCTGATTTCTCTCCCCCACTATCTGGTTTCAGTCTGGACATGGAGCATCACCTGTCTCAAGTCTGTGTAAACATGCCATCATTTGTTCTCTATATTGTCAATTAAAACAACCAGCCACAATGCAGAGCAATGGAGAGGATAGGGTGGGACATCCTGGTCTGGAGTGGAAGGAAGAGGAAGGAGGCAGGAGGAGAGGAGGAGAATCTGCAGGAGAGGTCTTGGAACTACGTGGAGAAATGAACCAGACCTAAGATATGACTAAAAGCAAGTGTAATGGGTGAATCTGAATGATAGGAAACTATGTGGGCTTGGAGGTTTAGGATGGAGTAACTATTGCCAAGCACTGTGCTCTAGGTTAATTAAATTAATCCTAGTCTCTGTGTGGTGATTTGGTTATACAGCTGTTTAGGAATAAGGGCTGCTTAACTAAAAGATGTATCAATAGTAAATATTAATAATCCACAACACAGAATATTATGATGTATGTGAGTGTTTTGTCTGCATGTACATCTGCACTCCAGAAAGGGGCATCACATCCCATGGGAATTGTGAGCCACCATGTGGGTCCTGGGAATTGAACTTACAACTTCTGGAAGAGAAGCCAGTGCTCTTAACTGTTGAGCCATCTCTCTAGCCTCACCAGTGCAGTTTCTAATCCATTAGATTCCCCTAGCTGTGAACTTAACAGTGAGGTCAGAGACGAAACCATGGACATCTAAAAGGTGTGTACTTCCTTTCGGTCACTGGAGCACTACTAGGTGGGGCAACACACATCCCAGAGTTCCTGTCCATGCCAAGGAGACAAGTGCAGTTCTGTGTGCTCAGTTCTCTCAGACAGTGGTATCCAGCAGAAGGAACACAGACACCATGCAGAATCCTGCAAGCACAAGCAAACACACACACACACACACACACACACACCACACACCAGAAGAGGCTGGGAGCCCCTGGAGCTGGGGTCAGGGGATTGTAAGCTACTTGACCTGGGTGCTGGAAACCAAACTCCAGTCCTTCTGGAAAAGCAACAAGTTCTCTGAGGCACTGAGTCACCTCTGCAGCGTCCATTATCATGAATTTTAAATACGCAGATACTCCCTCCTTGCTTCTTAGGAGGATTAAAGCTTTTTACTTTGGAGACAGGGCCAAATTACTCCCTTATTTGTAATCCTGGGTGGTCATTTTCCAACTTGTAGTAAATGAAATAACGAGAGAATTATAAACAGATAAATTTCTCAAGCCTAGCTGAATAATCACGGCACTCTCCCAAAGACGCTGAGGACTTGGAAGACTGTTCAGCAGTCAACGTGGCATCTGCTTCTGCATTCTCATCTGGGAATCTGGAGCTGTGTTTGGGGAGGACCTGGTCTTACACTACCTTCCAATTAATATCATGCAGAGCCAAATAGTAACTTTTAAGTCTCAATACTTTTTGGTGACAAGGACCTCAGATTAAAAGTAAAATTCTTCCTGTTCCATTATCCTTTCTTTGAACTTTTGCACAAGACAAGTCAAGCATTTTGGAAGAAAATCCAAAGTTTGACATTTGATCTTCAGATTCCACTGTTTTGTTTGGGGAAAGTGAGCCATAAAGCTTGTCATGAAGAAAGGTGGGAAAGCTGGAGACATCTAGTCTGGAGGGTTTTCAAAGGGGTCTAATCCACACACTTCAGGGAGTCTATATGGTCTCTGAAACCATATGAAAAGCTTTGTTTATATGTTTTGGAAAACAGAACCTACTGGATTTTTTTGTTTGTTTTTCTGGGACAGGGTTTCTCTGTATAATCTTGGCTGTCCTGAACTCTCTTTTTAGATAAGGCTGGCTTCAAACTCACAGAGATCTGCCTGCCTCTGCCTCCCAAGTGCTGGGATAAAAGGCATGTGCCACCATGCCCAGCTGCCTACCAGATTCTTAATGGGGTAAAAAAGAAAACACGAGGTAAATCTATTAATTTTATAGTATATGATACAATCCTATGTTAACCCCAAGGGAAATATCCCCGTGCTCTGACCTCAGTCATCTGTCCCAATGCTCATAACACTCGCACTGGTGATAATGCTCCCTTAAAACTCCTTTAAGTGTCTTCCCTTATAAGTAAAGCTAATCTTCTTTTACGCTTTACCAGAGATGAAGAACAGCTGGCTGCTGCTGCAGACTAACCTCTTCTTTAAGGCCATTGCTATAGCAGCTTAAGTCATGCCTCCACAAAATGGCTTTCAAATTATTTATCTTTATACAACTAAATTTGGATGTCTAGAAGGTAGCCAGTGTTTCTCGCTGAACTATTTTCCAGAAAGTAGAAGATGGAAGACATTCTGCTAATGTCTTTGGAATCATTTCATCTAG